GGGGGGGGGGGGGCATGAGTGGGAAGGGAAAAAGGGAGGTTCTAGCAGGACGGTATAAGAGATTTGAAGTGCCTTCGGAGAATGAAGCTTTCGGCCAAGTGCTTGAGAAGGAGGCGGACTCATGGGCCCAGGAAGCAGAAGAGGCATCGAAGGCAGACGTTGGGAAAGTTGAGCTAGAGACATAGTTCACTGAGGACGAGGTTGAGACTTGTGTGAACAAGCCACAGCGCCACAAAGCAGCAGGGGCGGATGGGATAGTCAACGAGTTCATGAAGCTTGGGGGGAAGGGCATGATCCAGTTGATCGTGCTGCTGTACAAGTGGGTGTGGAAAAACGAATACGCGACAAGTAGATGGCGGGAAAGGGATGGTTGTGAACTTGTTTCAGAAAGGAGACAAGACTGACCGAGGAAAATTCTAGGGGGGCCATACTGTTGAACACATTAGGAAACGTGTTCTGTGAGCTGCTAAACGATAGGGTAGTTGGAGTATTTGACAAGGAAGGTAGGATAAGTAAGGCCAAGCAGGATTCTGAACGAAGAGGGGGTGCGTAGACCACGCATTCACGTTAGGGAGAATCATCCGAGGTAGCAAGAGGGCGGGGAAGTCGATGTACTGCTTTTTCATGGACGTGCAAAAGGCGGACGATAGTTTGGAGATATAGGCTGCGGAAACAATTGTCCGAGCATGGGATAAGGGAGAAAACGTGGACAGTTCTGAAGAATATGACAGAGTGTACAAAAAGTGTACGAAAAGTGCACGAAAAGTGTACGAAAAGAGCTGTCTAAATTCTTCAACACTAAACAGGGGGTCTCACAAGGTTTGGTGCAGCGAGGGTTTCGGCTGATAAGTGGAGATTGTCTGCCAACGTTAAGAAGAGTGCCGTCATGGTTTGCAACGAGGACAGGGAGAAACCAGTAGAGGATACATGGAAATGGGGGGTCGAGGAGCTTCAAGTAGTGGATCAGTACAATTTCTCGGAGGAGAGATTGCAAAAGACTGCTCGTGGTATGCACACATGTCCAAGGTGGCGGAAAAGGGCAAAGCACGAGCAGGGAAGCTGCACCCAATACTCGTGAACCGGCACCTCGATAAACGCATCAAACTGACAGCTTTCAAAAGCATAATCGTCGCCGCTTGAGTTCGCCGGACAAGTATGCAATAAGAAGACAATAGTCAAAGAACTCGAGGCGACCCAGATGAAAACAGCGAAAAACATCCTAGGATGCTCCAAGCGCACAAGTGGTGCAGCCGTCAGGGCAGAACTGGGGATCCAATCCCTAAGATCGGTAAGAGACGCAAGGGGGCTAAAATATAGCAATACCGCATATGCGGAATAGGATAGGCGAGGTTGCCGAGAATAGCTTGGGAGGCGAAGTGGGCAAACAAGAAGAGAAGTAGCCAACCCACGGAATGGGTCAAGGTTGTGAATGACATATGGAGGCAGTTCAAAATTTAGGATAGCTAGATAGGCTAGGGAAAACATTCTTGAGCCACCTTTGGCAAAGTAGGAAGGGACACTTGGACCGTCGGTGATCGGTCGGTCCTGTGGGAACAATGCTCCGTCCTCTCGAGGACGCGTGGTCAATGGTCTAACCGCTAAGGCATGCAACGCGTACCAGTACACCCCCCTTCTGTACACGACCCAATCTATGAGAAAGCCAATCTGCGCTGTACCCACTCCCCATATGCTCATTTTTGCGTTTCTACAACGACGTACTGTACTGTAAGGCAAGATCGGAAAACACATGTGTGTGTTCATTGTTTTTTTTTCTTTTCGTATGGGCGGCAATCCCCCCCCCTCCTCCAATCCCACCTCAGGTCTTCTGGTCTGTCGGAGGAGGATCTTGATGAGGTAGTCTTCGTTCTCGTTCGCCGTGAGCACCACCTGGAGCATCATTCGCGACCGGCGGCATCACGCGAAAAAATAAAGACACGTCAAGTCACAAAACCAAGCACACGCCGATGCAAACAGAAGGACATCACGCGCGAAAAGAAAAAAGACACGTCAAGTCACAAAACCAAGCACACGCCGATGCAAACAGAAGGACATCACGCGCGAAAAGAAAAAAGACACGTCAAGTCACAAAACCAAGCACACGCCGATGCAAACAGAAGGACATCACGCGCGAACAGATAAAAGACACGCCAAAGTCACAAAACAAAAACAAGAACAAGCACACGCCGATGCAAACAGAAGGACATCACGTGCGAAAAAAAAAAAAAGACACGCCAAAGTCACAACAACAAGTACGCGACGATACGCAAGAGCAGCGCCACCAACGCAAGGGAAAGAGGAAACACGCAAGACACCACGAGCGAGTGACCCCACCCGGGAGAGGTACCCGCTCTGCCGCCTCAGGCACTACCGCAGGCCAAAAAATGGTTTCGTCCCAAACCCGGCCCGGGAAAGCACACGCGCCGCCGCTGCAGGAACAACCCGCACGCAAAAAAATAGTTGCGTCCAACACTGATGTGCCCCCACGCTCTAGACAATCGTTAAGCAACCAAGCACACGGTATCGTTCACATGGCAACGATTCGCAACACGAGAGCTGCATCGGGAGCCAGCAGGCACCCGCTAACGAGCAGACACCACGTTTGGAGCACCAGCACCCTTCCGCCGTTGTAGGAGCCGCTGCAGCCGCAGAAGCAGAAGTAGCGGTACGAAACGTGAGGTGGAAAAACAACGAAACAAAACAAAACAAAACAAAACTCCTGCAACAACGGGCACTATTATAGTGGCGCATCCTTTGGGAAGACAAGGGGGTGATACTTGTGAACATCGTAGGTGGGGCGCACAGCACACACCTTGTCGACATAGCTTTCTGCTGGTGCCTTGTACGAGAGAGGCGTGGAAGCGAAGTCCGAGCTGACAGGTCCCGATCCTGCGAGCATCAAGAAAAAATCATCAAAAAGAACTGTTACCGCTTACAATAGCTTGCACCCGTTGTGTCTTTCTGTCCTTCTTGAAACCGTATTTCCTTTCATGTGGGACAGCTACTAAAATAGCACATGGTACGACGACGCGATGATCTGTGTATGGGTGCCGCGAAAGTAGGAAACTAAGGACGGCCAGGATTGTTTGGGTAGTTAGTGTAGTTTGCCTGCCACCATGGAAAGTATCCGCGGCAGTCGTTGGACCATCAGCCAGCGGATGTTGGAAGCTCTGAGCAAAGGTTTTGGGTGTCAGAACAACAACGTTTTATCCTATTTAACCTGAAAAGAGCAGGCGCCGACGACGCTACTTGGAGTCGGTGCAGGAGCACAGTATCAGCTCTGGACGAGAGTGGTTTTCCGTGCTATTTTACCATAGCAGTAACTGAGAAAAAAACGTTTAGAGCTAGGCGACGGGAACCAAAAACATAAAAACAAACGTATTGGAACAACCCAACGTGTCGGTTGGCTGAACAGTGACAGCTGTGTCACGGAGACGCCGGGCAATGACGAATACAGCAGCAGCAACAGCAGTAGCAGCAGCAGCACAACAACATCAGCACTACAACAACATCAGCAGTACAACAGCAGCAGCAGCAGCACTAGCAGTACCAGCAGCCACAGCATGTCAGCGAACATGGTCCTGGCGCACACACCGGCACACACCTGACGTGCTGGCCGGGCTGTGCTTGTTAACCATGATGGTGCCGGGGTCGAGCCTGGCCCCCACGCGGCAGATACCATCCTCGTCCAAGGCTTTGTACCGTGGCCATCGCGGGTCCTACCACGGTAAAACGAGGGGCATGGCATGACAGGGCAGGACAGGACACATGTGCGTCACACAACTCGGCCAACGCTTTGTACCGTGCCCATCGCGGGTCCTACCACGGTTAAAAGAGGGGCATGGCGTGACAGGGCAGGACAGGACACATGTGCGTCACACAACTCGGCCAACGCGTTGTACCGTGCCCATCGCGGGTCCTTCCACGGTAAAACCACGGGCATGACATGATGGGGCAGGACAGGACACATGTGCGTCACACAACCACAGGAACAAGCGGGAATATATCGAGCGATCCCTCCTCCCTTTCTCAACCAAGACAAAAAGAAAGGCGGAACAACAACAGCAGCAGCAGCAGCAGCAGCAGCAGCAAGCAAACGCAGCAACACCGCAGGGCATGGTCGCAAACGGCGGCCGCCAAGCCGTCGGTCGACATACCTATCTCACAGCAGTGCGACACAAAACCAATAAAATCCAACCCTTTCCAAACGACATCTTTCTCACATCTTCGCCTCTTGGAAACTCGGACGCTCGCACTTTCCCGACGATCTTGTCCTGGGTGCCGTTGGGATACTTTCGGATCGGCACCTGAGATTGGCACATAACGCCGCGCGTGGGCAGTGCAGTCGAATCCAGCTGAAGAACGACTCGTTCGCTTGTTAGGCTCGGGGAGGACCGCCATTTGTTAATTATGTCTTTCAACGGGGTTGTCCGTTAAAAAAAGGGGGCATATACGTAGAGGCGTGCATACTGTTGGGTGAGCGCCTTGAGAACACCCGCCGGCCGCGCGTGGGCAGTCACAACCAGAAATGTAACCTTTGTTTTGTGTAGGGTGCACTGTCATGCCGCATATCTTCAGGGGGGGGGGCGATGGAAGCATCGCGAGCACGGCCTCTTGCTCTCTGCTACAATGCCTAAAGCAAGGCGTTTTTCTCTTCTACTTGACGTGAAATGAAAAAATAGGCTTCGTCGCTGATCGTGTCCTGCAGCAAGGCATGTATTTCAACGTGTACTTGTAAGGCAACGTGAAGAGATGGGCTTTCTTCATCATTGAGGTGTTGGGTGCCCCCCAAGGGCGCCGGTCACACCTGATGCTTCCTGAAGACCATGCACCGCCCGAACCCTCGATCAAGGGACCCCCTGTTGAGCACTATGGCGTCTTCGATGTCGTAGCCGGAGTAGGACATCACCGCGATGGACGCGTTCTGCCCTCCGGGAACCTGCAACCGGCGAGGGCAAGGGCAGTGGATGTAAGGATAAGGACGAGGGGAAGGGTGAAGATGAGGAAGGCAGGCACAATGATGAGCATGAGGACTAAGGCGAAGGAGAAGGAGGAGGGTGAAGTAGACAAGCACGATAATGAACATGAGGACTAAGGCGAAGGGGAAGGGGGAGGGTGAAGTAGACAAGCACGATGATGAGCATGAGGACTAAGGCGAAGGGGAAGGGGGAGGGTGAAGTAGACAAGCACGATGATGAGCATGAGGACCACGGCGAAGGGGAAGGGGGAGGGCGAAGTAGACAAGCACAATGATGAGCATGAGTAATGAGACGACGGACAGCGACAAAGACCATGGATTGAGCATGAGGACCAAGACGAAGGACAAGCACACGGATAGGACAAGGGGATGAGGTAGACAACCAAAACGATGAGCACGAGTAAGAAAACCAAGGGGCAAGGGCAAGGACAAGGACGCGGACAACGAAAAAATGATTTCCACCAGGGTATGTCACGTTCAATTTTCGATTTGCAGAGTCTTGGACCGAGCATTGAAGCCACATGAGGAGTGAGTGCACCGTTATTGCGTCAAGAGCAGGCCTCTCGCCTGATCGAAGTGAACCAGGTCCAGCACCCGGGTGGTGACCATGGGCTTCTGGGGGTGCACCAGGGCGTACAGGAGGCCGTCCATACGCTCGTGCATGTTGAGCGCCGTCGTGCCCATTGCCTGTGACGGCAGTAACGAAACAACAAAAACAAAAAACAAAAAATATTAACAGAATGCGGGGCACGCACTCATACAAATGTGGCACATGGCAACAGCGGGGACGGGAAATCGTGCGCACTCACTCAAGGCTAATTCCATTTTTATTTGTAATTTTTAATTTTGGGAAGCTAACACGGCTTTTTATTGTGCATGTATGACTGATCCGCATCGCATAGTACTCTATCAAGACCATTTGTATCCATAAGAGGAAGCAATGCATATGACTGGCATTGTAAGCATTAGTCGCAGGTCTTCAGCCAACACACAGGCCGCGCCTAACGCACGCTGCAAGACCACTTCGCTCATGAAAATTCCTCGCCACGACACGACACCTCCAAGTACGACGCTCGAACCTGGGGGGGAGGGGTGTTCTCATAGTCGTGCATGCCGTAGTCGTTAGACCATTGACCTCGCATCCCTACAAAGCCGGGACGGAGCACGCCGGGTTCTCACCGGACCAGGCTCTCACATCACCAAGCGCCAAGCGCCGTGAGATATTCGGCGAGTCGCATGAAGGGTGAGCTGCATCCTGCTAACGGTGTTCGACATCCTGTGCTTACTCCCTTGCGTACGGATGACAGCTGCGTATGA